GTGACTGGCTTACAAGCTTTCAAGAGGGAACCTAGATCCAAAGGGTGTGGAGGAAGGTAGAATCTCCACTGAGTAATATACAATCTGTCTGCGCATGGCTGATGCAAGGCAATATGGATAGCACTCATATGGTACAATAGTGAATAATTGCTATCAGGACTGACTGTGAGGGTTAGAAATGTAAAGGTGGACGTTTTGTAGCAAAAGGTGGGGAGTGGGTTGACTTTGAAGTCCAGGAGAGGAGGTCCCTGGGACCATCAAGGGAGACGAGCAGAGAGTGGGACCCTACCCAGAGAAACAGGGATGCCAGAGATAGAGGCAGAGACGGTGACGTGGAGACATGAAGCAGCTGGGGACTTTAGACCCAGAGAGGGAAAGGGGCTGTGTGCTGGTGACTGAGGGGTAGGCTTGCAGGGTATACCCTTTGGCTGGTTGATGATGCATGGAGGGGATGGTAATCATGGCAGTGAAACGATATGATAGGATGAATGTAAAACTAATGTTCTCCCATGTAAACTATCACATAATTCACAATTAAAAAAAAAAAAAAAGGCCAGTGGAGCAGTTCTGCCCTGTAACACATGGATCCATCACCTGAGTTGGAATTGACTCATGAGTAATCGGGCACCTCTACAGAAAAGCAGATTGGCAGGCCTTCTGTGGCACCACTGGGTGGGTTTGAATGGCCAACTTTTTGACTGAGTGCATATCTGCACCAGATGTACAATAATTCTTGGCTGAATGACAGAATGGATGAGCATGCTTCACCTTTAGGAAGGCCACAGCTCTCCTCAGCATCCTCCCATCTCCTTACTGGACCCCGCCATGAGTCTCCCTTTTCCCCCAGTTAGGCCATTTGACTGTTTCAGGCTTTCCCTGATGGACTGGGTGTAACTAGGACTATATTGTGTAGCAGGCTTGCAAGGATCTGGGCTAAATATGGCTTTTCCATTGGTGAGGGTGGATGCAGAAGAGGAGTAAGGCATGGGGGGTGAGGGGGGGGTGGGTAGTGGTAAGTGGAATGAGGGTTGGAGAACAGGGGTTGGGGGAAAGAGGTGGGGTGGGAGAAATGAAGACGGAATGGGCAGGGGAGGGGAAGAGAAGTAAGGGTGGAGGAAGAGGGATGAAAGTGGAAGAATGGGACAAAGAGAAGACTGAAGAACAGAAATGGTTGGGGAATTGGGGAAGGTACATTAAAACCTTTCTGTGAACGTACTCCATAGCTCCAATCCTCCAATCCTAGCTTCCATTTGGATCGCTTGTGACAATCTCCAACCATCGTTCTCAAAAGTCCTTCACCTTGACCCTTAAAACATCCTGCCCTTCTCCCCAACCACACACACCAAGTCTCAATTATCCCCACTAGAGTGCTCTAACCTAGGGATGAATTAGAATAATTGAGATGCAGATGTGACTTCCAAGAGACCCTGATTCAGTAGCTGAGGCTAGATGGCATTCTGAAAAGATCCCAGATGTAGGTGGCCCCCCTAATTCAGTAGTCTCTTAGATCTAAGGAAAGGCTCAAGGAGAAAAAACTGTTTTAACTAAGACCTGTTTCTGTCCAGGGAGAGGGGGAGGAAGTAGTTTTCCTCTACCAGTTGCTTTTTAAAAATAAATGAGCACTTTCAGGTAACTTTTATCACCAGTTACCTGGGAGAAGCCCTCAAGGCCTGTAGAAGAAACGTTTGCATTGGAGGAAGGTCACAGCAAAGAGGAGAGCCCTCTTCTCTTGTGGAAGGCTACCTATCTTTCCAGCTCACACCCAGGTCCAGCAACCACTCAAGGCTGGCTGGGCCAATAGGACAGTGCATACTGCTTAGTGAGGCTCTCTTCTTCACAAATTGAATTGTCTGTGCAGTCTCAATCTATCCAAGTTGCCCTGGCATCCATTCTAAACCCTGGCACCATGTGTGTTACTGTGCTCCACAGGGTTGGGAATGACTGAATTTTCTGTGGAAGACCACTAGGTCTTTCTTCCCAAGCACCTTTGTGTGGGCTCAAACTGCCAACATTTTAGTTAGCAGTCAAGTGCTTATTAACTATGTGTCCCCCCCCCCCCAGCATCTCCCAAAAAAGACTCAACAGGTATTGAAATATGCTTAACTTTATTCTATTTTATACATCTTATGATTCACATTTATTGACCCTGGTACAATCGATTAACACAACAAAGACCCAATTTTGTCGTCAGGAGCTGGATAGCTGCAGGCTTTCTTCATCCTGAGAGTCCAATTTGCTTCACGTTGTCCACGGAGAAAGTTGCCTCATGCTGAGCAGTTAAGTGCAGATGGAAACCGGTTTTTCTTCTTCAAATCTTCAGTCAAAACTCACTCGGGATCTTGAAAGGCATCTCAGCAGTTTCTGTTTGAAAGTTGAATAACTAACAATATCTAATAACTGTTCACATTCTTTATCACAAAAATTGAAATTAGAACACAGGCCCCCTGCATCAACAGCTTACAGAGGGCTAAAACAAGGAGTATCATTAACTTGTTAATACACAACGGAATCTCTCACAGCGTTAACAAGAGCATGTGAATTACACAGGTAAACTTGCTTTCACAGAGTTAAGTAGGACAATGCACCAGACTAAATTTCTTCCTCTTGGACCCTCCTCATCAAAGTCACACAATTGACATGAAATTCACTTATATGCAGAGATGGCAGAAACATTAACTCAATTTATACAAAAACCAATTAACCTAGAACACAAAATAGTCTGTTAGTAGTCTCCAGTGTGCTATAACTTGGTTTGTGACCCATGCTAGTGGTTATTTTGCACTGCTTTTGAAGAACATAAGAAAAAGAACTGAGTTACATCTTTGTGGAACCCTTGGGGAGTTCCCAGAAGTAAAGTGTGAAAACTAGTTACCCCCCCACCCCACCCACATATATATGTAACACGGAATAATTCTAGTCTGATTTTGTGTCTATACAGAACGTTGAAATTAACAGCCAATTTTTAAGGAATTTTTTTCCTCTTGCTATAGTTGTGAGAACCACTGAGTTTGGTGATATTGGACAGACATGGGGAAATGTAGGTAAGCCCAAATTCTTTCCTCCCAACTGACCTTTTCCCGGAGGCTTCCAAAGCTTCACCCCAAATGGGAACCAGGGTACTACTGCTATTAATCTTAAAACTCAATACCTTAAGGTCTAAGTAGACTTGTTTCTTCCAAAGTAACTCTTGGAATCTTCCCATTCTCTGGTTAATTAGAAGATGAAAGTTGAAACACAGGAGGTGTATGAAGTTGGATTTGCATATAAAATTCTGGCTTAACCTACAGCACAGACACGGTGGACACAAGAACATGGACCACCTAGTGTCTCAACGCACCAGGCCATTCACAGGTGTTTTGAAATTAGGAAGAAAGACCAAACAAGAGTGAATACAACAGAAGTAAATGTAAACATTCGGGAGTTTGCCTCATCTGTCTTAAAAACCCCTGACTTCGGAAAATAAGTTGAGGGCACAAAAGTCTGACAGAGAAAATGGCACAACGTAAGCATTCCACCCCCAGACCTCCTAACCTAAAATCTCAGACATCATTAACCCAAAAACCACACTTCTATACAGGGCCCTGAAAGAAATCCAAAATGCTGTCTTATTCAATGACATCCCCCTCTCCCCCCTCCCCCGAAAAAAAGAAAAAGAGAAAAAAAACTTCGTTCCTGCCTTGGAACATCTTCTTCCACCTGTTTTTCAATTCTGCAGGTGCGGGTGGGTCCTCCCAAATCAAAGCTTTCTGCAATCTGGAGAGAAATCGAGACAGCTCAGTAAGGAAACATGAAGCAATACCACTTGGGAATATTTCCTTCCTAAGGATCTACTAGATTTCTAGAACATTTCAATCCCCCAACCAAGCCTTTAGGAGAAAAAAACAAAACAAAACCCAAACCAGAAGCCATTGAATGAGTTCTGACTCACAGCGACCCCATTATTTCAGAGAACCATGCTCCACGGGGTTTTCAAGAATGTATTCTTTCCTAAGTACTGATCAGCAAGACTTTCTTCTGAGAAACCTAACACCCAAGGACCCCACCCCTCTTAAAACGCACAAACCCCCAACAAGTGATAGATCCCCAAAGCATTACATTCCTATCAAGGGAGATGAGTCAGACTTGAGTGGCTTGAGACCACCACAGTTGACACTAATCTACGAAAGACCACAGCCCTCCCACCCCAAGGAGTACCCAATGTCGGCCACAGGGGCTCCTAGGAGGAAGGGGAAGGGGGGTTCTCACCTTCCACAACCTCAATTGGGGAGTCAGAATCAGCCGCGTCGGGGTCAGCCGCGCCAGCGTCAGCATCACCATCAGCCACATCGGCCTGCTCCTCTTCCTCCGCTGCGCCGGGTTCATCTTTGTTTGCCAGCTGGCCCACTGCCTCCTCCTTGGGCATCTCTTCCTCCACATCCACCTCCCACTCCTGATTTTCCCACCTCATCCACTTGGCGACACATTCTAAGTGACTTCTGTAGCTACTCTTGCCATTGGAGGTTTGAGGCGAACATTCCAGCTTGGCCATGAGATCCTGGGATGTGGAGGCTGGTGTCTCAAGGGGCGGTGGGCTTCGAGGGCCCTTCCGAGGAGCGCCATCGTTTTTCCAGCTTGGGCCTTGCCCTGGACTCACTGGCATCGTCTTGGCATCATCCGAATCCACAAGGACGTAGGAGATAGGGCCCAAGCTCACCTTCTTTTTCTTCTTCAGAGGAGCAAGCCTCTTTGCCGAGCCCCAGCCCAGGGCCTTCTTCTTTGGCGGGAGTTCCTGGCCGCCATCTTGGTCGGACTCTGAAGCGGTTTCAGAGCTCTCCGCTTCCGAGGGGGCATCCTGCGGAGGATCTCGGCGGACCTTGCGGGTACATTTCATCCCCGGCTTCTTCACAGCCGCCTCCTCCGGCTTCTCGGGGGACTTTTGGGTGCTCTGGCTGCATCCCGAGATCTCCATCTTTTCAACGTCATCCATGTCAGAATCATCTAAGGCTGAGCTGTTGGCACCGTCATCTTTGGGTTTTTTCCAGAACATGAGATCCTGCTTGGGGGCTCTGTTCAGCTTCTTCCTCCTGGAAAAGCTCTTAGGCCGCGACTTGCGAACAAAGGCCCTGGGTGCCTCGTCTTCCGTGTCAAACCAGTTGTTCGGGTTCTCCATCTTGAGGGCGCTGTCCACCGCAGGGGCGGACCCTGACTCCTTCTTGACCTTCCTTCCAGCATCGGACGCCCAGGTGGCCGTTGCGTCGGGCTCGGCCAACTCCTGAACCCTGGCTTCCTCGCGGTCACGTATCTCCGCATCCATGTAGAAGACGATTTGCACCACCGCCCCCAGGAGCACCCCCAATGCTTCTGCCCAGCTCTCTTGGGGCAGATTCGGATTCTGGGTCAGACCGGAACTCTGGGGTACTGGGGCGCAGTTGAGATGGAGGAGGCGTACCACATCCTCCACGGTGCGCCCCTCGCTCTCCAGGAATTCATGCAGATTTTTTAAAAACTCCGCATCCTGGGTGGGGTCTCTACAGACCACTCTCCAGGGACCCCCTCTTCCGGGGAACTCGCGGGGTATGGTGCTCAAATTCACGCCCTCACCCATCTGGATCAGGACGGCTTTGGCATTCTCCTCCCTGACAAAAATCTTGTTGAGTATGGTGTACGGGCCCAACGGGGTGAAGAACCCGTGCAAGGTCTCCTCAATTTCTGCTTGGCCACAGTCTTGTGGGATGCCTGTGACCAGCAGGGCCCTGTGGATATCCACATCCATCCCCCGGCACCAATCTTCCAGAAGGTTCATCACCACCTCCGTATTCGCCGACATTTCGCTCTAATCGGCAGTGACGGGTACGAATCCTGTAAAGTTACAGGATAGTGAAGTAAGATTCCCGGGAAGACCGCCAAGCTTAGGGCTCTAGGCTCCCCAACTCCGTGGCTGGCCTGCAGGAGGCCGCGCCTTTTCCCAGGATCCTGCCCCCAAGCCAGCCCGGGATACCCCAGGGTGCTCACACGTGTCGGGGAAGCTTCGGGGAACCGGTCCTGGTCCTTCACCTGCCCGGTAGGGTCTGTGCAGCCAAGCTACAGAGAGGCCACTCGGAGGCAACCTTTCCGCAGGCGCTGGTCAAAGTCGCTCCGGAACTGCAGATCCAGGTGAAGAGAACTAGAGAAAGTGGCGTCTGCCGCACCTCGAGCCCGCAGATATACCGAGCCCAAGCCGGCGTCGCAGTATGCGCCTGCGCACTTGCGCTTACTCCCGCGCGCGCGCTGCACTTGTTCCCGTGATCTCCATAGCAACCGGCAGTTGATTGCTACAATCCGAACCGGCCAGGGCGTGGCTTCTGCAATTGGGCCTTGGGGGGGTCAGGTGGAAAGGCGACTGTTCAACCCCCATTGTTCTTCTCTCCACCCTTCTCCCCCCTGCTCTGGGCCTCCCGGCAAAATGGGATTAGACTGACTTTTATGGCTGCACCAGCTAGCTCTTCTATCCTCTACGATCTTAGGGGTTTCTGTCATCAGAACTCCTGAGAGACACCAAAGATGGGTGAGCGAAAGGAAAGAGGCTGGGGTATTAATCCTCCTCCGGTGTTTCGTACTGTTGTACGTAGGGTCGTTATGAGTCCGTACTGACTCTATGGCACCTAACAACAACAATTCCTCTATAAAGTGTCCTGGTGTGGCGCCGTGGGTTAATGCGCTGCACTGCAAAGTCGGTTTGAACCCCAAGGTCAGCGATTCAAGCTCACCAGCTGCGCCTCGTAAACCCTATACAGAGTCTCTATGGGTCAGAACGGACTCGATGGCACTTAACAAATTCCTCCTTACAAAACCACAGCTTCTATCAGTAGCCTTCTTTTCCAGCCACAGCTCCCAGGTTCCAGAAACTTCCAGATGCTTCTTGCTCCCTTCCTCCACCTCTTCAAGCCTAGGGATAGTGCCTCAGCTCTCTTTTAAAATCATTTATTTCTTTTTGCTGGCGATATGCACACCCAAACATACATCCCTTCACAACTTCTACACGAACAGAGAACGTTGATTATATAACTTAAATGGTGTCACCATTCTGTCTACCCATATGGTTTCACCACCATTGATGCAGGCTCTCTGCCTCTTAAGAGTTTTTCTGTGCTTTGGATGAACTGATGTTCGTGCTGATAATTCTCTGTAGGAGTACTATGCTTAAGGCAAAACTTTTTTTTTATCAGGCTAAACTGGTATTTCATTTAACAATGGCTTCATGGGATAGTTTTGGTTCTAGGTTAAAAGATAATTTCCAGGCATTATTTTCTAGGGTTCCCCCAGCCTCAATGAATCCATCCAGTAAGTCTATTTCATGTTTTACCCCACTACTGATTGTCATTTAAAACGGTCAGCAATGATAGCTGGGCACCATCTATATCTGCTGGTCTCCTGGTAATGGAGGCAGTAGTTTTTGGACAGTGCCAAACATTTCCTTGTTGGTGTCCCCTTGTTATCTACAAGCAACACCTTCACTAATAGTTAAGCACTCCCCAGTTGAGTTGCTGTTTTTGTTTCCTGCCTGGCCCTAATACACCCAGATATGCTGCTAGACTTCCTCACTGTGCAATCTTAAGACAATTTGATCTTTGGGCTCCTTGTCTTACACAATAGGAATAACAGTAATATATTCCTGATCTGTGAGATCACCTATAGAAGATGCACTGAAGCACAGTTTTGGCCTTGATGTGTATCCAAAATCTGATCGTTGGATTCATTTGGGGAACTGGACTTTACAAGGCCAAATACCCAAATGTCTATTTTCCTGTCATTTTTGACAACCCTGATTATTAAGAGTGATCAACATTCAATATTTGTGTGATCTAGTTTCTACCCTATTTCTTGTAGAAAGGCATGTTATGCAAATTGATAACATCTGAAATATTTGTGTTCCTCAGAAACCCTATAAGGGGTTGTTTTGAGTCCAAACCAGTCCGACAGCACTTAACAACAGATATAATCATTATGTTGTTGTTGTTGTTAAGTGCCATCAAGTCGGTTCCGACCCATAGCAACCCTGTGTAGGGTTTCCAAGGAGCAACCATAGGTGTAGCTAAAGTTTAGAAATAGCCTATGTGCTTTCTAGGTTAGAATTATTCATATAATTGTTGAATAAATATGAATCATTTTGTACCAGTTAGAAACAAAAGTTTCAACCAAATCCAACGCCTGGCAACCCCATGTGTATCAGAGTAGAACTGTAACCCCATCGGGTTTGCAATGACTGCTTTTCAGAAGTAGATCTCCAGGTCTTTCTACCAAGGCACCTCTGGGTGGATTTGAACCATCAACCTTTTAGTCAATAGCTGAGTGCACTAACTGTACCAGCCAGAGACTCAATTATTGCATGGTAATTTTCATTTTTTTAATTCTTTTAATGGGAAGTAACTGCTACTGGCTATGGGGTTTTTCTTGAGGGTGAAGAATTTGCTCTGAAATAGGTGGTGAATTCTGTAGCCTTATGAATATATTAAAAACTTTGGAATTGCATACTTGTTTGTTTAAAGTACTTTTTAAAAATTTATTGCAGCAATGTATACAATAAAACATGTACTATTTCAACCATTTTTCATGTACAACCTAGCCATACCAACCACACTCTCTGTGTTGTACAATCATCACCACGACCCATTTCCAAATCTTCCTTTCCCTCTCTCCCCTTTCCCCCTTTCTTCTTGTTATTGTTGTTGTTGTGTGCCGTGGAGTCGGTTCTGACCCATAGCGACCCTGTACACGGTTTCCGAGGCTGTAAATCTTTACGGGAGCAGAAAGCCTCATCTTTCTCCCACGGAATAGCTGGTAGTTTCAAACTGCTGACTGTTGAGATTAGCAGCTCGATTCATAAGACTTTTTTTATTTTCTGGAAAGTTCCCAATGATTTGTCCTAAAGAGAAAATAGATAATGTTTTCCTTCCAGAATATGGAAGGGGGGAAAAGGCAACTTCCTATTTCCCTTCCTTTTCAACTGCCTTCCCCATCACCCAAGTTAGCACACTCGACCCAGTGAGTAATTCTCCTTCCCTGCCCACCCCTGGTAATTATCAATCGTATGTTTATCATAGAATGAAAACCATTTCTTGACATTTTACAGTAGTGGTCTCATATGATATCTATCTGTCTTCTGTTCTTTTGCAACTGACTAGTTTCACTCAACATAATGTCCTCCAAATTCCTCCATGTTATGTGGTGTCTTGCAGATTCATTGTTAAATTCTTCGATGTTGCGTAATATTCCATTGTGTATATATTTACCAAAGTCTGTTCAATCATTCCTCTACTGACGATCATTTTGGTTGTTTTCTATCTCTTTGCTATTGTGAATAATGCTGCGAACATGTGTGTGAAGATATCTATTTGTGTGATAGCTCTTGTTTCTTGAGGAAATCTCTCTACCAAGTATACATTGTTGGGTCATAATATAATATTTCTATTTCCAGCCTTCTGAGAAAGTGCCATGCCATTTTCCACAGTGGTTACACTATTTTACAGTCCCACCAGCAATGTAGGAGGGTCCTATACACTCCACACCCTCCCCAGCATTTGTAGTTTTGTGGGGTTTTGTTGAGAACCACAAGGTCAGCAGTTTGAAACTACCAGTGGCTCTGTGGGAGAAAGATGAGGCTTTCTGCTCCCGTAAAGATTTATAGCCTCGGAAACCCTGTACAGGGTCGCTATGGGTCAGAATCGATTCGAGGACACTTAACAACAACAACATACATTTTAGACAGTTGCCCCTTGTCTGATACATCATTGCCAAAAAATTTTCCTAGTCTGTGGGATCTCTTTTTATGCCTTTGATGAATTATTTTGATGATTTTGTAAGTTGTCTACTTTTTAGAGGTCCCAATCATCCAATTTGTCTCCTACTGTTTGTTTAGTGACATTTTATGTTTGTTAGTATATTTATGACATGTATCAGAGCTCCTAAGCTTGTCCCTGCTTCTTCATTGATGGTCTTTCTACTTCCAGGCTTTAATTTTTAAATCTTTAATCCAAGTTGAATTTCATTTTTATGTATGGTGTTAGATACGTCTTTTATCCCTTTGCAAATGGATTTCAGTTTTGCCAGCACCATTTCTTAAAGAGACTATCTCTTCCCCCATTTAATGTGCTGTGGTCCTTTGTCCAAGATCAGCTAAGCATAGATAGATGGATTTACTTTAGGTTCTCAATTCTGTTCCATCAATCTATCTTTCATTCATTGTACCTGTACCAGGCTGTTTCAATTCCTGTGGCTGTGTAGAAAGTTTTGAAACTGTAAAGTGAGAGCCTTTGTTCTTTTTTAGTAATGCTCTATTTGTGATCTCTTTCCTTTTCATATAAAATTGGTGATTAGTTTTTCTCTCTTTAAAGAATGATGTTGGAACTTGGGTTGTGATTACATTATACCTATAGATTGCTTTGGATACTGTTGACATTTTCACAATGTTAAATCTTCCTATCCACAAGCTTGGCATATTCTTCCATTTTTGTAGGTCTCTTGGTTTCTTGTAGTGTTTTATCATTTTCCTTACATAAGTCTTTTGTTTCTCTGATTAGATTTTTCCTAAATATGTCATCTTTGGGGCAGTTTTTGCAAATGGTATTGTTTTCCTGATTTCATTTTCAGAGCTCTTGGTATGGTAATTTCAGATATGACCACAAATTCTTTGACGCTCCTTGTATTGAGAGATGGGGATCTTTTCCCCTACACTTGAATTTGAGAAAGCCTGTAAATACTTTGACTAGTAAGTAGATAATATGGTGAAATAGAAATTATAGGACTTCTCAGGCTAGGTCCTGAAAG